CTCTCTCTCTCTCTCTCTCTCTCTCTCTTCTGCGACAGGGTTTCATGTAGCCCAGACCTGCCTGGAACTCGAAGACGACCCACAGCCTCGGGTCCCGTCTTCACCTCCCTAATGCTGGGATCCCAGATGTGCACAAAGACCCCTGGCTGACTCCCTTCACACTTCTTTTAAAGATTTTTTTTAACTGATTCTTTGAGAGTTTTATACGATTAATTGCTTTACAGAATGTTGGAGGAGGCAAGCATTTTCACACAGGTGAACCTGGTTATAGGTTCCATTCATCAGCATGGGCCTATCGAAACCAGACCAGGGACTGCGGTGGATGACAGCAGAGTCCTGCAGGCGTGTCCAGGTGTTAGTCCCAGCGGTAGTTTCTACACTGGGTGCAGCCTCTTCATCAGTGAGCACACAGTGCCTGCTGCTGATGTGGCAAACACACTCTTTCTACAAACCCAGGGCAAAGGAGCGGCAGAAGCAGTCGGGGTCACATGGATTGGGCACTGTAGATATGGGCTTACCTCAACCTGTGCTACACTCCAAAGGAGCCTGGCCCATCTGGACATGCCAGAGACCAGTGCACTAACAGCAGGATCAGGTCAGCGAGGCCTGGTGAAACAGGGCCTAGAAAAGGTGCACACGCTCCAGAGGATGAGGAAAACCCCACACTAGACCCAGGGGCCTTGACACATTTTCAGGTGGTGTGGGGCAGGTCAGGACATCCAGGTAGAGCACAAGCAAATGCACCTTGAGATAGTCTGCTCTTGTATGGATCAGTCTGACCCAGTATTGGGTGGCACAGAAGCCTGGCAGGCCCAGAACAAGGTAGTCCACAGTGCATACGGTAGGTCAGAAATCCTGCCACTGGTGTCAGATGAGTAGTGAATCTTGTTCTAAAAGAACTTCTAGCACACAAAAGGCTTGTGCATCTTACAGGCCTCAGTGCCCCATAAAGAAAACCTGCATGTCACTTCTGCCGTGCCACCGAGCCCAGGTAGGTGGCAGGACCACCTGTCTCCTCCTCTGTCCTTGGTCACCCCAGAGGACACCGTGTTATGTATGGACTCGGTGGCAGGCTGGGTGTCTCACCTAACCATTGTTGCTGAGTGTTGGTTGGGTCAGCTGAACCCCTGAGACATGCCACCCGTCACATGCACCGAGCAGTCTGTTGATGGCAGCTTGACCCCACTTGGTCTCTTACACCTTGAAGTGGGCAATGCTTTCTCCCCCTCAGAAGAGATCTGCATCCTGTGGGTTGGCCCTTCCTTCCTTAGTGGAAGTTACAGATGCTCCATTGTGATGACTCATCACCTAACCATGTATGGTTTCTACATGTTTCTGTATGTATCAATGAAAATGATGCTTTTGACTCGGTACAAAAGACCACTGGTAGCTCCTTAAAGTCCTGGACTGAGTCCCAAATATTTTGCATTTTTAAATCTAGCCAGGTATGGTGGGTCATGCCTGTGATTCCAGCACTTGGGAGCCTGAGGCAGGAGGACAGGCCGAACTACCTGATGAAATGTTTCATGTCTCTTCCTTACGGAGATGGGTGTAGCCAGATGACCGGCGGCCCATTCTGGAGTCCTACTCAAGAATTGACATTTTAAAGCACTTCATATTTTGGTGAATTGGTATCAGCGTCTGGGAGCCCTTCCTTGGGGGGACAGTGCGGCTTCCGGCCACTCACCAGAGGGAAGACTTCCTCATCACTAAGCAGGACACTTGCCATTCCTTTGGTTTGAAATGGCAAAGGTGGGAAGGGAGGTGACGGGCTCTGGTCAGGTTCACAGTCTTGGCTAAGCCTACGAGAGAAGAAACGGTGTGTATTAGTGCTGCGGGGCATTTTTATTTCCTTGGTGTCCAACTAGGGGAAACACAGTAAAATGTATGGCCTTCTCTGGGTATTTCTTTGAAAACAGTTTTTCTGACTAACATCTGCTTCACTTCAGAAGACTTAGAATGATGAACCATGAAGCAGAAAACACAGTAATTGTTAGAACAGGCGCCGTCTGGTCGCCTCGAGGTTTCCCCTTCTGTGATGTTTCTGCATCTCTTGGCCATTTAAATAACTGAAGAAAATTTAACAGAAATCTTAAAACAGTGATCATCACTGCCATGGACAGTTTTAAGGAGATATTTTAAAAAATTCTCTATGGTGGGGCTGGAGAGATGACTCAGCGGTTAAGAACACTGGTTGTTCTTGCAGAAGACCTGGGTTCAAATCCTAGCACCCACATGGCAGCTAACAACTGTCCGTAACTCCAGTCCCAGGGGATCCAACAGCCTCTTCTGACGTCTGCGGGCATTGCATGACACGGGTGCACTTACACTTACCTACATGCAGGCAATACACACATACACATAAAAAAAAAATTCTCTATGGTACTTCATGGGCCTTTTAAAACAATAATTCTTTGAGAGTTTCATACAATGCATTTTGATCATATCCTCCCCAACTTCTCCCAGATCCACCCTCACCTTCCAATGCACCTGGCTTTGTGTTCTTCCCACTTTCCCATCGAGCTCAGTTTGTGGCTTTCCTGATGATTATTTACCCAATCGTTACTTTTTTATTTTATTATTATTATTGTGAGACTGGGGATTGAATCCAGAGACTTGCCCATGCTAGGCAAGTACCCTCCCACTAAACCAGTCCTATTTAAATTTTTTATTTTGAGACAAGATTTTCTGTCTGTCCTTGAACTTGAGGTCCTTATACCTCAGCCCCGTCCACCAAATCCCAGAGTGATGTGATCACAGGCGTGTGTCATCAGACCCACTCCAATCCTTCAATTTTAAAAAGAAATTTTATTTACTATTTTTATTTTATGCATATGCATGTATTGCCTGAATGTAGGTAAGTGCACCCGTGTCCTGCAATGCCCATGGAGGACAGAAGAGGCTGTCGGATCCCCTGGAACTGGAGTTATGGACAGTTGTTAGCTGCCCGGGTTCTGGGATTCAAACCTGGGTCTTCCGCAACAACAGCCAGTGTTCTTAACTGCTGAGCCATCTCTCCAGCTCCCGCCCCCCCCAATCCTTCACTTTTAAAACGAGAATTAGTTGTTAGGAGCTGGGGACTCGAGTACAAGTTTTCCGAAGATGAGCTCCACAATAAGGACGGAAGGCGCCTGGAATTTGTTGTTTGTGCTGAAATAGTGGGTAGAAAAGAGTGAAGAAAATCCCCGGCGACACAAGTGAGTAACGAGGCAAAACAACCCACCTAAGGCCACACAGAAGACGGTCCTGACAGCGAGGGACTAAACCATGCCTCATGGAGGTGGAGTTTAAATCAAGCAAAGACCGGAAGAACATAAAAACCCCTTCAAATGAAAGTTACTGATCCTTACTAGTAAGTCAGATTCCCCACACGTTCTAACCATTTTCAAAGCTGCCATGTTTTAATTTGACACAGTTTCAAAAACCCACACTATGTTTCTCTCCTCCCACCCAGAGCCTGGTCTGCACAGACTTGCTTTTCCTGTGAACATCTTCAAATCTATGCATACTAGTGGCAATAATAGTTGCGTGAGGTGGCTGTAGATCAGCACAGAAAAACAGAGACAACTTATTTCCCATTTTTTACTTATCTTGAAATAAATCTTTTCCCTCATTCTCCCAAACCATAATTACCATGGAAACAGAACAGCTGGTTTTATGATGTGAATGTAGGTGAAGCATCTCGAGGTTCAAACAGAGTGGTAACAATCGTGCAATGCACCCGTACACCACCGTTAGCTGAGCCTACTATCTACACTTCAGAGTGGAAAAAACCAGACAATTACAGAGGTGATCTGAGAAGTGTATATCTATACCTGTAACTCACTTACACAGAAGTTTCAAGCAAAGTATTATTTGTTCTAAATTACCTAAATAATTATTCCAATTACCCATTTTGCTGTGGATTCAGAGGCAGCTTTATGGTGTTAATTACTAAAATTTATATAGGAACATTCTTTTTATATTATAAGATCAATAAAATATTGATATAGAAAGGAAGGGCCACATTATGAAGTAAAGTGCTTTGACTTTAAATCATCTTAATATCTGACAAGCCTTCTAGAATATTGCTATTCAAATACTTCATAAAACTACCTTGCATAAAATGCTATATAGTTCAATTTAAAAGCCATCTTAAAAATTATTTCAGAAGGCTTTTAAGACCCTTCACAAGTTGGTCTGTTCAATGAGCTTTTCCATGGGCCCTACTCCCAGCCAACGGCAGGCCCAGCTGCTTGGCTGGAGGCAGAACTGTCCAGCGGTATGAGGTCCTGTCTGTGGTCCTGTCTGACTGGGGGCCTGTGCTCCTGCTCCAGGCATCTTTACCTGGACTGTGGGATGATGTCCTTGGCTGGGAATGAAAACGTACTGGTTATGGCTGAGCTCCCAGCCTGCCTTCACACGCTCCACAGATCTGCCCTCTGTGACCTGCAATGTCTCCTGGTCTGGAACCTTTGGTCTCCTGTGCTCTGTTCCTCGTTGGTCAACACCACAGAACAGAATTTACTTGGCTTATTTTTGGTTTCTAGATGACAGTTTATCCCTTAACAAGGGACCTGGTGAGTGGTAACGACAAATCTGCTGATTTCGTGGCTTTTTACTATTAGAAACTTTGAATTTATTAGCTGCACATGAAGTTACTTTTAATGCTTTTTAACTGAACTTTTGTGATTTTCATACACTATAATTTGATGGTATTTAAATATCCTCCCCTAACTCCACCTTCCCTTATTACTTCCTCTCCAATTTAATGTTATATATATGCCTATAGTTTAAATTGTGTCCTAAAATGTTCTGCAGTGTGGGTCCATCCACCAGAGCCTGACCAACCTACCAAGAGTCCCATGCTTGACAGAGACTGTCTCTGCCCTCTGAACCACCATCTGTTGTCAGAGTTTCCTTGGGGGTGTTGGGGTTTCCTACCCACTTCCCCGTGTCTATGCTGGGATTCTGTCTGGTTTGAGCTGGCATGGGACTTGTGCGTGCTGTCAGCATTGCTGTGAGCTCATATGAGTAACTGACTAGCTGTCTGGAAAACTCTGCTTCCTTGGGGTCGTCCACCACCTCTGGCTCTTACAGTCTTTCTGCCCCTCTTCCACAATTATCCCTGAGCCTTGGGAGGCAGAAGTTTGATACATGTGTCCCATTCAGGGATAAGCACTGTGCAGCCTCTTGTTCTCTGTGCATTGGCTAGTTGTGGGTTTCTGGGCTAAATCACCATCTGTTGCATAAGGAAACTTCTCTGGTGAGAGTTGAGAGATGCATTAATCTATGGGTATAGCAATAAGTCATCAGGAGTCAGTTTAATATGATAGCTATTTAGTAGAAAACTAGTGTTAGGTTCTCCCTATGCTCTGTGACCTGTCTAGCCTCAGCTTCCTAGACCTGATGTGAATGTCAGGTCTAGGCTTCGTCCTATGAAGCAGACCTTAAATCCAAGGAGAATGTGGTTGTTAGTCCCAGAATATTCACGCCATTATTGCACCGGTGGGCATAACTTGCCAGGCCAGTTGTTATTTCAGTTGATTCCTCCTTGTTTGTCCTGTAGCTCATGTATGAAGCGTCTTCAGTAACAGGGTCTTACCATCCAGTTCAGGTGGGTAACCAAGAGCAGAGGCACTGGCCAGTATTGCTTGAGGGTCTATGGGACCCCCTGGTCACCCACCAGCTTCTAGAGAGAGGAGCCCATTCCTGGCATTGAAGTTTTTTTTTTTTTATTCATTGGCCTATGATGTCTAGAAGGGGCAATGTCCCCTGTTATAGGGTAACTCCTTTTAACCTCTTTATAATGCATATGTATATACTTTAAGAAACTTCGTGAAGTACCTTAATGATCAATGCTTCCCATTACCAGACTCTTTCCAGTGCACAACAGAACTTTTAAGCTGTGGCTTCACTTTTAAGTGTGTATCTTATAGAAAGACAAACTATTCATTACAAAATTGATTTGTCATCAAAATTACTTATATATTAATAGTTCTGGGCACCACGACTCCAAATCAGCTTGTAAAGTATTCTGAAACTTCAAAACCCTGTCTTTTAAGACCAATACTCAAGAATATCTTAACCAAATTCCATTATGGCTCAATAAACTTTTTTTAAAGATGTAGAATACTGATATACTGGATTACCTGAAAATGTTTCTGATTTTAAGTGAGTGAACATTAAAATATCACTTCAAACAGGGGTAGACAACAAAAGTTAAGAATGAATAGCAGATTATTTGAATGATGTGCTATTCAAATCTTCAGTTAAAAGCAAGAATTTCCTTAGAATTTTTTTTTGAGACAGGGTCTTACCATGTAGCTCTGACTGGCCTAGAATTTGCTATGTAGACCAGGCTGGCCTCAAACTCACAGAGATCCGCCTGCCTCTGCCTCCCAAGTGCTGGGATGAAAGGCTATTCTCAGCCTGTGGATCTTGAATGTTTGTGGAGAATATTTGCTTAGATTTTATCCTTTATGAGCATTTACTAGGACCTCATTGTGTCAGGAACTGATATGTAAAATGACTGGGATATTTGCTGATTAACTTATGACTAGCAAGTGTATCCCCCATTATATGTATGCATACACATATATACACATACATATACATACATACACATATATACATACACATATGCACACATTACACGTATACACACACGCACACACGTGCACTACTTTGGCTGCCTTACTAGAAGGGAACAACTTCGTCCTGTCGCTGGCGTCAGTAGACAGCCACTGGCTTTCTGTTCACAGTGCCCCCAAAGCTCCACAACTCTTCCCCACAGTGGGTTTTTACATGGCAATAATTTACTCAGAACATTTGAAATGCTGTTTCTTTTATAAACCAGGTAACTAGAAAACACAAAAATCAGATGCAGTATTAACACAAACTTAAATGAAACTTTCAACGATGGAGCTGCAGCACACAGCTCTGTTGTGGAGCCGCCCCGGCTGCTTATTGGGAGTTGCTCCCGCCGAGCCTTTTACCCCCTATGCTGCTGCCTCTGTGCCCTGCTGCCCTGTTGTTAGGCATGTTTAACACCTTCTGGACCATTCAACAAAGGGAAGGGAGGGGTCTTGCAACAAGAAAAAGATTTAAAATTAAACTGCGGAGCAGCTGTCCTGTTTGATAGCGGCACTGGTACCTCCCCAAAGGCTGTCACCGTTTCTCCATGAGCAAGTACCAGCTTGGGGACGTGCTCAGTGACAGCAACTGGCCCGATGAGCATCTTTAGGGTCATGCTCTGCTCAGTGCAGAAGTGAGAATAGAGAAACGCTTTGTAAAGTTCTCATTCTGTATTAGAAAATAGATTCTTGCGTCCAAATCACGGTTGGCCAGATCTCTTGGGACAGATTTTCTGTTACCCTGGGGAGTCGACATGAGCACAGCCACCAGACAACTGGCTTCAGCTGCAGCAGGGGCCTCTTCATCCTCTCACAATGCCTTACACTGCAGCCCACCTCAGCCCTCAATAGCACCCCCACAGCACCCACCACAGCACCCCTACAGCACCCCTCTCGCAGCACCCAGCCTATAGCACCTTCCCACCAAGCCCCCTCCACGGCACCCCCAGGGCACCCCCACCACACACCCCACCCTTCTTTCCTTCTCTGCCTTGATCGCCTGGGGAGGGTTTGTCACCGCTTTGGAATGAATGACCGCTGCTTCAAGTAGGTTTGAATTAGATCCGTCCTTCTTCCAGTTCCCAGAGGACTGAGGTGGTGAAGGGAGACAGGTGCTCTAGAGCCACAAGAACGTTGCACACACATTGCTTGGTCTGACCCATGGACTCTGGGTGTACGCCACTGAACTAGGTGTGTTTAGTTACCATGATGAGCCAGCCCGGCATCACCTCTCTCCAAAACTCAGATTCAGCCATTAGTGTAGCCACCAAAATATGCATTTTAGTCACTGTGAACTCTGAGAAGTCTCGTGTTATGAACACAATGCTGTTACTGATAACAGGTACGAAACTGCACACTCTCCAGATTTCCTCCTCAGTAGCACCCTGTGGATGGGAAACCCGGAGCCGAGCTGGCTAAGCAGGATTCCCAAGGCTGTAGATGGTCACCTGGCCACATGAAATCACTGTTAGGTTTTCCACGCTGAGTACCGCAGCCTTCTGAATAGAAGCTGTGCTGAGGTTCGGTCTGGACCTCTTAATCACATGCAAGGCTGATAGCTTTGGTATCAAGTTAGTCTGGTGAACACTGCATCCCACAGCCCTTCTTAGAGAACCACAGCATTAAGGCCTTCACGGTCCTGACAAATCCTGGGGGCAGGAAATGATTTTTGAGAATTTTCTAAGTCTGGTGAAATAGTGACCAGCGTCCAGAGACAGTTCTGACTTCAGTCTTTTCCATGTGAATTAGCATAGTTTATGATCGATATAGCGACTTAGAATTTGAACTCAGACATTTTCAAGATCAAGGGAATGAAATGGACTGTAGGCATTGATCTCCCACACACTTCACTCTTTTACACATCCATGCCGTCCTTCCTAGGACATGAACAGCTGTTGGTTACCATGGCAGAAGTGTCAACATCAAGCGCATGTGTGAAGGACAGAGTCAGGGACGGCTAGACCTTTTCTATTCTGCTTTAACACTATACCTAACATGCCAGATTCCAGTTGTCTCTGTTCCTGTGACACCGAAGAGTCAGATTGCTTCTCTGCATGTTCTACAGCATGCCAGCAGGAACATTTTGAAGTGCCTGGCTACAGTCCCCCGTGACCCTCCACCAGCTCACTGTGGTATCTTGGAAGGCAGCTGTGCTCACCGCCACACCACCAACACAGCACGGCTGCTGTGCCTTGGAAGCCTTTGCCAACACCTGCCCCTTACAAAAGACTGACTGTCCTCCGAACAACACAAACCTCAAACAACTGAAGAGGAGCATATGGACTCAGCAGTGTTCTTAGACCTCCCTCCCATGGTGGACCGGCATACCTGTCTTCACTGGTTTCCACTTTCGCCGGGCTCTGGCAGGCGTAGCTTCCTGCTTCCTCACAGCTTTCCTGGGTAGGCTGTGCTGGTTTTCCATTGACATGAAGCTTTGCGAGGCAGCTTCGGAGTCGTTCATTCTCACTTTCCGGTTTGTTAATAGACGCATACCTTAAACGCTCCCTGTTGGTGAACTCCATGCTCTAGGGGTAAAACAAGTCACGACTGAGTTAGATGGAACTTAGAGTGTACTGGCTGCGTCTGGACTCACGTTGGACGGACCCTTTCGTTTGCGCTCATACGGTGCTGACCGTGGGTTTACTCTCCACCTTATCAATTTGTTTAGACAAATTTGAAGATGTTTGTGTTTATAGGGTGTACCTCCTAGTGTTGATTGATAAAGGAAATAACATTTCAATTTTAAAAAGAATAGCTTGATAGAAAATATGGAATGACACTAAGAACAAAATAAATATTCCATACTGTTTCTACTTGGTGAAGTGTTGGTATTTGTACCTATGTCTTTCTAGCCTTTTTCCTATCAATAGAAAATAAACTGTAATCAATAAAAGTATTAATATAATTGTATACAGACTACTTAACAAAATTATAACCAATATACATGTATCTTAAGAAATACAATGTAGCCTATATAAAATATAACATGGGTACTTAAAAAGTATAATTACAAAATTGTAATGCACAAATTTTGTGAATTCTTTGTTCCCTTTGAACACTGTATGTATACTTAAAAAAGATTCCTAATGACTGCATTGAAGAGGTCTAAAATTTTATTTT